AGATTTATTTATTTTTACTGGAAAGTCAAATATACAGAGAAGAGGAGAAACAGAGAGAAAGATCTTCCATTCATTGATTCACTCCCCAAGCGGCTGCAATAGCTGCAGTTGAACCAATCCAAAGCCAGGAGCCAGGAGCCTCTTCCAGGTCTCCCACATAGGTGCAGGGTTATGCTTTGGGCCATCCTCGACTGCTTTCCCAGGCTGCAAGTAGCGAGCTGAATGGGAAGTGGGGCCACTGGGATTAGAACTGGCACCCGTATTGGATCCTGGCACGTTCAAGGCAAGGACTTTAGCCATTAGGCCACTGCGCTGGGCCCACCCATATTATCTTGACATTAATGCTGTTAAATTTCTACACATTTTTCTAAAGGAGCAGTAGTTGTTTCTGCTTTACATTTTGAGCTATGAGCACCTGGAAGAAATTTGGGTTATCTTCTTTTTCCTTTTTAAAATATTTAGGACCCAGCACAATGGCTCAATTGGCTAAATCATCACCTTGTATGTGTGGGATCCCATGTGGGCACTGGTTCATGTCCCCGCTGTTCCACTTTCCATCTAGAGCCCTGGCTTCTGGCTTTGGATAGGCTTGGTTCCAGGTGTTGCGGCCTTTTGGGGAGCAAACCAGCTGATGGAACATCTTTCTCTTTGTCTTTCCTTCTCTCCATAAATAATCTGATCTGCTTTTCTAATAAAAATAAATAAATCTTTAAAATATATATATTATATGTAAAAAATATAAGACTATTACATCAGAGGTATTAATATAATTTTGCAAAGTAGGAGAGAACCCGTGAGCCTACCATCCTAACGTAGTCAATGTTTTTGGTTTTGTATATTGCCTTAAAGGCCTTTTTTAAAAATTTATATGTAAGTCAGAGTTGCAGAGAGAGATCTTCCACCTCCAAGATGCCGCAGTGGCCATGGCTAGGCCAGGCCAAGGCCAGGAACTTCTTCTGGGTCTCACACATGGGTAGCAGGGTTTCAAACAATTGGGTCATTTTCTACTGCTTTTCCCAGGCCATTAGCAGGGAGCTTGGTTGGAAGTGGAGTAGCTAGGACACAGACGATTGCCCTTATTGGGATGTCAGAGTCGCAGGTGGTGGCTTTGCATGCTATGCCACAATGCCAATGTCAAAGGTTCCATTTTCATAATAATTTTTAAAGATTTGTTTATTTTTATTGGAAAGGCATATTTACAGAGAGAAGGAGAGACAGAAAGATCTCCCATCTGCTGTTCATTCCCCAAGTGGCTACAATAGCCAGAGCTGAAATGATCTGAAGCCAGGAGCCAGGAGCTTCTTCTGGTTCTCTCATGCAGATGCAGGGTCCCAAGGCTTTGGGCCATTCTCTATTGCTTTCCCAGGCCACAAACAGGGAGCTGGATATGGAGTAGCCGGGACACAAATAGGTGCCCATATGGGATTCCAGAGCCTACTAGGCAAGGATTTAGCCACTGACCCATCATGCCAGGCCCCACAATAATGCTTATTACTTGAATCCTTTAGAATACTTGAGCTCAGGGTGAGTAACTTCTTTGTCTTTTTTCTAGTCTGCAAAGCTTGTTTCTGTTTTAAAGAAGGCACTTGAAATTACAAAGTAAGTATGAAGACTTCTTCCCAGAAAGCTTTTTGATTATAAGCCTGATTTCCTGTGAAACCATTCTCAGCTCCCAAGCCCCTGTTTCAGGGAGTGTGCCAGAGGGAGTGTGGGGTCTTCTCTCAGCTTTGGTGGGGGAGCAGCTGAGTTTCCTCAAAATGGTTTACCTTGCCTTTGTTGTAGTTTCCTCTGTGCTTTCTTGAGGGATAGCTGTTTCCCTTGCTATTATAACACACCTAACTTCTATTTGTTTCTGTCTTGTTTGCAGAGCAAGTCATGTGACCCCCCAGCCAGAAGACAGTTGGATCCCTCTACTGATGAATGCCATTGATCACTGCATGAACAGAATCAAAGAGCTCACTCAGAGAGAAATCGAACTATGAGTGATCAGGTTCATTTGTACTATTCTCTCCCTCTGTCTCTATGCATCATAGCCAGGCTCTGATGTCTGCTTCTTTAAAACAGAGTGGAAATAATGCTTGCTGGATAAAAAAGGGCATTCTTTTCTGTATTTAACAAAACACCAACAAAATTATTACCAGAGATTGTTGCTAGACTAGACTGGTGATTATTTATAAACTGCATGAGTGTAATATATTTTTCTGTGCTAGATGCAAATGATAATTGCATGTGCTCATGATCCTGAGTTGCCTCTCGGAGTTTCCCTTACTCCTTATTTTCAATAAAGTGTATTGTTTCATTGTCAAAGTTGGTGGTGGTCTCAACAAAATACTGAGCTGCCAATGATTAAATGAGTTCCTTTTCCCACACTTCTTGCTATCAGAAATACAGCAGGTTAGGAGTAGAGCATTGCTTTCATTTGTAGGTTTATAGGTGTGCTGATACGATGTGTTCTGATCAGATGTGTATTTAGAACAAAAACAGATGGCTTTGGTTTATTTAGAACAGATGATTCCAATGTCCCTCTTGGTACTTCAGCATGTTCTATGATGTGATTTTTCTTAGTAAGACCTTCTGAATGTTACACCAGGCTTACTCCATGCCTCTAAAGTACGTTAAACAGTTTTATTCTCTTTATGCATACCTATATTATCATACTAGTTATTGTATTACCATTATTCTATGTATGTCCCCAAGTGTAACTATCATATTTTTTATACATCAGAAATTTGTAATGCATAAGAGGATCTTTAAGTATTTTTCAGTTCATTCTGATGCAAAATTAACAATTATTTCTTCCCCTGTGTACAAGATCACATTTTGGGAAGGAGGTTAAATCCACTTGGTGTTTTAAATTGGACTTTATACATGAACTAAAATCTTTACCATCCTTAAGCTGCCCCTTTCTTCTTCAGGCGTAATTCAGGATCAGCTGCCTTTCTGATCCTTTTAGGTATTAGCAGCAATAGCAGCCATTCTTTTTTCTTTTAAATATTATTTATTTATTTATTTTAAAAGCAGAGCGACACACAGGGAGACCTCCTTCTTCTGGTTTGCTTCCCAAATGATCTTAAAATTCTGGTCTGGACCAGGTCAAAGCCGGGAACCTGAAATTGCATCTGCAGTCTCTCACTTGTTGGCAGGGGCCTAGGTAACCTGTTGCTGCCTTCCCAGGAACACTAACAGGGAGCTGGATTTGAAGTCAAACAGCCAGTGCTCAAACTGGCATTGTGATATGGGATACTGATGTCACAAGACCAGCCCCAGCGGTTATGCTTTTGAAATTCCTTAAACAAGCTTTTTGTTTTGTTTTGTTTTGTTTGGAGGACAGAGGCAGATGGAGAGCTTTGTTGGTTTACCCTCCAAAACCTGCAGTGGCCACAGCTGGGCCTGTCTGAAGCTAGGAGCTTAGAACTCTATCTAGGCCTCCTAAGTGGATGGTAGAGGCTCAATACTTGAGCCATCATCCTGCTTGCTGCCTCCCAGGATTAATAGTAATAGGAAACAGGATTGGAAATAGAAGAGCCAGGTCTTAGCTAGGAATTCTAATATATGGTATGCAGGTGTCAAAGCTAACCCTTGTACCAAACACAGACTCCCCTCAAATGAGTTTTTCTTTTTTTCTTTTTTTAATTTGAAAATTTAATTTTAATTGAAAAGTCAGATATACAAAGGAGGAGAGACAGAGAGGAAGATCTTCCATCTGATGATTCACCCCCAAGCAGCCTCAATGGCTAGAACCATGCTGATCCAAAGCCAGGAGCCAGAGCCTCTTCCGGGTCTCCCACGCAGGTGCAGGGTCCCAATGCTTTGGGCTGTCCTCAGCTGCTTTCGCAGGCCACAAGCAGGGAGCTGAATGGGAAGCAGAGCTGCTGGAATTAGAACCAGCACCCATATGGGATCCCAGTTCATGCAAGATGAGGACTTTAGCTGCTAGGCTACTACATTGGGCTCTCTCTTTTTAAATCTGAAAGGCAGAGTTAGAGAGAAGGAAGAGAGAGAGAGAGCTCTTTCAAATGTGGATTTATTTCTCAGATGGCCTCAACAGCCATGGCTGGGTCAAATCAAAGCTCCTGCATGGGTGTAGAAGCCCAAGTACTTGGCCTGTCTTATATTGCTTTGTCTACTAGAACACCTGGGTCTTGAATTGGTACCCATATGGGCTGCCAGCATTATAGGTGGAGCCTTAGTCTTTACATTTCTGGCTTCTTTTTTTTTTTTTTAGAGTTATATATTTATTTATTTGAAAGTCAGGGAAGTCAGAATTATAGAGAGAGTACAAGAAACAGATGTTAACTCTGCTGGTTCACTTCCCAGATGGCTGCAAGAACCAGCGCTGGGCCAGGCTGGAGCCAGGAGCCAGAAACTTCCTAGTCTCCCATGTGGGTGTGAGGTGTCCAAGTACTGCTGTTTGTCCCAGGCTGTTAGGGGTCTGGATCTGAAGTTGGGACATACATTGGCAGCCGTATGGGATGCCAGCATGGCAAGCAGCAGCTTAGCCAGTTATGCCATAATTCCAACCCTTAATTTACTTTTTTCAGCTGTCATTCTTTACTTGTAACAAGTGTCATAAAGGGAAGGAACTAAAACCAAAGTGTTATACTTCCAGAACAACAATATAAATACTTTTAAAAACTCTTAACTGTGCAAAAGGGGCATAATTTTAAAATCCTTTCTTAAAAGATTTAATATTTTTAAAAAATTTATTTATTTTTGTTGGAAAGGCAGATTGACAGAGAGAAGGAGAGACAGATCTTCCATCTGCTGTTTATTCCCCAAGTGGCTATAATAGCTGGAGCTGATCTGAAGCCAGGAGCTTCTTCTGGGTCTCCCATGCAGGTGCACAGTTTCAAGGGGCACTGGGCCATCCTTTACTGCTTTCCCAGGCCACAAGTAGGGAGCTAGAGGAGAAATGAAGCAGCTGGGGCATGAACTGACACCGATATGGAATCCTGGCACATGCAAGATGCAGATATAGCCACTAAGCCCAAATAATTTAATTTTTATATTTTTATTTTTATATTATTAGATGACATACAATAGAATATAAATCTAATTATTAATACAGATCTAGTCGTTAACATTAGACTTTAGACCTACCCCTCCCATGTACTCCTATACCCTGTTCAGTTCTACTCTACATCTCTGTCATCTGACCCAAACTCCCCAGCTAACATCTCTACCACTTTTTAACTATGGAATACTTAATGAACATAGGGCTTTAATAAAGACTTATCCAAAGCTGAATCTAGAAAGTTCTGTGATCCTGTTGGATAATTTATTCAGTTGTCTTTGGATCTTTTCTTTGTTTGTTTTAAAAATTTATCTATTTATTTATTTTAAGGCAGAGTGGCAGGAAGAGAGAAAAATCTATCTGCTGATTCGCTTCTCAAATGGCTTGCAACAGCTGGGGCCAGACAAAATTGAAGCCAGGAGCCAGGAACTCCATCTGAGTCTTCCATCTGGGCACCAGGTACTCAATTACTTGAACCTTCATCCAGTCTCTCCCAGGCACATGAGCAGAGAGGTATATCAGCAGTGGAGGTGCTGGAATCCCATCATCCCTCCAATATGGGATCTAGATGTCCCAAGCAGCAGCTTAAGTTACTGTACCACAATGTCTGCTGTGACCTCTCATATTTAGAACTTTAAGTATAATGGTCAGGAATAGAATGGCTCAGAGTACTTTGAGAATTAACTGAAAATTTCATTAACTTGTATTGTCCCGCTTCACCAGAAATCAGCTAATGATTTCAACATTAGATTTTTCAAGGGAATATATTAATGAGCAGTAAAACTCTGAAGAATCAGTGCTCTGGAAAGGTAGCTGAACAACTTTACCAAAAAATCTGGATGATTTTTCAAAAGTTTCCTTTGGTCACTCAAGTCCAGCTGTTTCTACTCAAGAAAACCAGTTCCCAGGGCTGCCTTCAGCTGGGGTGAAAGAAATCTGTGCCTTATTTGTTAGTTTTGGGGAATCTGTTTGGTTCTTGGGTGCTCTTCTGTTCAACTTGAGTAAAGACTTGGTTGTCTTGATGAGCAGAGTTTTCCTTGCCAGTACATGTTTTTGTTAGATTTGTGATGTCAGGGGTGGCTTAGGGAGAAAGATGACAAAGTTGGAAGTTCAGGGGCCACCACAGTGACACTTTTGTAATTGGTTAGATTCTGGAACATGTTGCAGTCCATTTCCACCGTGAGCCTGTGGAGCCCCAAATGTGTTGGTGTGATCTGGAACTGGGTGCACAAGGTGTTTCCAGGCCACACAGGCCCTATCCTGAAATACAGCAGAAGGAAGGTGTTAGTTCTGTTCCAGGTTCATTGCTATACTGATCCCAGAGTCTTTGATCCTTCCTTACAGGGAGAGGTTAATCATGCAGAAATGTACATCCAATATGTTGCTGATCCCACAGAGGTGGTTAGAAAGATGTAGAGATGGGAACCTCCATGTGCTGAGCACTTTCACATGGTTGAGGAGAGAAATATCCCCAGGGCCCTCAGCCTGTATCTGTTGTTCTTAGCCATCAGCCTTTTTTAGTTTCTGGTGATAATACTAGTGAGCAATGGTTAATGTTAGGCATTACCTTGACTGAATTAAACAACACTAGCAACCTGGGAAAGCATTATTTTGGATGTGTCTATGAGAGTGTTTCCAAATGAGATTACCACATAGGTCTGAGCAGACTAAATGGGAAGACCCCTGCTTCAGTGTAGGCAGTGACACGAGCTGGTTGGGAGTTTGGAGAGAGTAAATACAGAAGACAAAGTGGTCTGTTACTCAGAGAGTTGGACATCGTAGACTTGCTCAACTCCTGTGACACCTGCCTTGGACATCCTCTAGACTTACTTAACTTAGGACTCCAGGTCTTACACCAGCAGTCTCTTGAGGGCACTAGGCTTTCAGGCTTGAGCTGAGAGCTATAACCTTTAGCTTCCCTGGTTCTGAGGCCTTCTGACCTGGAATGAGCTATGCTTTAGCACCCCTGATTCTCCAGCCTGCCAATGGGCTATGGTAGGACTTCTAAGTTGCCATAATCTTGTGAGGCAATTCTCCTAATAACACCCTCTTAATGTCTCTCTGTATAGCCTATGTATTCTGTTTCTCTGGAACTGCATCTGATAACATTGGGTATGTTTGGAAAAGCTAGTTCTGTAATCTGTACTTGTTATATGCAAAGGATGCAGCAAGCCTTCTGGTAGGATACACAGATGGTTTTTGGAGCCTTATTAGCACCCCTGGGTTCCTTCTGAGTCACCTTTTGGTGACTGAGGGCAGGTGAAATATCTCCTTTGGGGAGACCACAAAAGACTGGTGAAATGTTGGCAGGCCCTCTTCTCAACTTACTGACAAGAGTAACTAACTCACTGAGTTTCATGAGGCAGTAACTTTGTAGCCCTGACTTCAGAGATCAGAAATAGTAGGAATAAGCATCTTAAACTTTAAACCATATACTGTGTGTTCAAGGAAGAATACAGTGGACATAAAGAAGGCATTTGCAACATCTGCACTGAACAGTGGACCAATACCTAGAATGCATGAGGAGTCTTATAAAAATTTATGGACACTGCATATTATGAAGAAATTGGATTTCAGGTTTTTTTTTTTAACATCAAAGTCCTATTTTTGAAGTCCTCTTATATCTCCATGGACATGACAAAAACATGGTCATTAATTTTGGGCCCTTGCCTATCTGACCAGTTGAGATGTTTCAATGGGACAAGAAGCCTGCAGTCTTACCTGTAGTTCCTCTCTCTGTGAATGAGTCCTCTTCCAAGGATGGAGATCACACAGTCCTTCATGGGGGCACCGAGGCTGTTATGGATGCTGACTGAGGCCTTCAGAGGCTGGTACTGCTCTACTATCTCTGGCATCTGTAGCAATGGGCAACACATGGGGTGAATGCCAAGGGCACAGAGCCACAAACACACCTGCCCACCCCCCATTCCAAGCACTCCTAGACCCCTCAGCTCCACTCCCCAGCTATGCCATCATGGTCCAAACCCCACAGCTGACTTCTGTACCCCTTTACCTGATCCTCCTGCATTTACTGTTACCCCTCCTGGATCCATCACTGGTAATGTTATGGTGCCTCTCCTCAACCCTTAGTGGGTCTCCCACTCTCTTCGGAATTCAGCATCAGTTGCATTTGAGATGCTTTCAAGGCCCTAACCTACCTCCCCAACCTCACCTGTGCATCCCTTGATTAGGTGACATCACAGCCACATCAGGGACTTTCCCTTCCCCAGTACTTCCTTAAACTCCTTTGCACCTCTTTACTCAGTCTTCAGCCTTCGGTGGCCTTCGCCTGCCCTTTACTGCAAGGGTACTCAATTTTCAAATCCCTGAAGAAATGACATCTCCATGAAAGTGTCCCCCAAATCAGCAGCTAAAAGTAGTCCCCTTTGTTACATTTGCCCTGTGATGACCACAGAGAGGATCAAGTGTCATGTCTCTGTTACCAAGCCATAGCTACCTTGGCAGCATCAGCCAAATCTCATGAACTTGGATCAGGGTAGACCCATGGACCAAGAACTACAAGACTCTAGAGTTTCCTGTTTTTATGATCCTTGGCAATTCTCTCTAGGATTCAGTTTTCTTGTCCAAATAATAGAAGTAGTTCCACCCCACAGGGCCTTTGTATTAAAAAAAAAAATAGAAGAAAAGAAAATACTTTGGTATATGTATAAAGTATTAAACAGAGGCTATTACTATACCTATAAGTATTGGTGTAATGACTGGAAAGAACCTTCTCTTAACCAATGAGAGAAAGTGGGATATTTAAACCTTGAGAGCATATTAAGACAACTGCCTCAAGAAGGAGCTCTCAAATCTAGAACTTTCTGGTAATTCTGCAGTGTGGTCAATCATTCTGAAGCTTGTGGGGCTTGAATTCCTCCACAAATGGCAGCAGATGAGAGCGATTCGGGGAAGGATTGGTGCCTACCTCGATGGCAAGCCATGGTCTACAGATGGCGACATCTTCCTGAGCAAAGCAGCTCAGGCTGGACTTGGAGTGTGTGGCCATGGTAGTGAGTCTGAGGAAGCTGTTCTCCGGTGGATTTTGCTCAAAGTAGGAGAAGGATAGGCTGGTGGTTATTTTCTGAACTGAAACACATGACAGAGTGGGTGAGTGAAAGGGAATGAGTGTGTATCCTAGAAAAAAGCCATTGTTTTTCATATAATGCAGAGGACTCAGGGTCTCACATGCCAGAAAGATACCTCAGTCCCTACCCCACTTACACACTTTCAAGTTGCATCCCTACCCCTCCCTCCACCATCCTGGCAGAGCACCCCAGTGGAGTTGTGGAAAGGACCTCGTGGACTAGAACCAGTTAAGCTCTTTGGCTTCAGTGAACTTATCTTAAAAAAAAAAAAAAAAAAGATCCCACTGTAAAAAACCATCCCCCTATCAGTGGGATGGTTTGTGCTAAATGTGGTGCTGCAGAAGTGGTTGTCTCTGGACCTGCCAAGTGGCAGTCTCTGAGGATATGCTTAATTCCTTTTCATTTCTGCTGGTCCTCCTCTTTTGCAGAGAGAATAAAGCTGTCAACAGGGACTCAGTCCTGCTGTGCCCACTGCCCACATCTAGTCCTTCACTCTTTAAGTCTATGCCCCATCCTGACTCCACTCACCACTGATGGCTGTGGAACGTTGGGCAAACTATTTAACCTGTCTGTGTCTCAGTCTGGGAGTGGGAACAGTAATGGTCTGGCCTCATAAGAAGGTTGTGAGATTTGTGAGGAAACATACATAGAGTGTTTAGCAACTGTTTTGGAAATAACACATTATTCAATATGTGCAAGCTACAGTGATTCCAGTTGTCTCCCATTCTTCTGGAAATGGCTGCATTGATTAGAACCCATTTCTCCTGAGGATCAGTCTTGCCCTCTGTGCTGATTCTGTTCTTCAGCACAAAAGCAGATCTGGCTCTCTCTCATCTATAAAGTAACCCAGCATCCTGGGCTGGCCATCAGACAGTGTCTCCTCCCACCATGCTTCCAGCAAATGCCATGTGCCTTGTCTCTCCTTCACTTACTCAGTGGAACCTCCAGGAAATGCCAGCAGCCCTGCTCCTGGGTCAAGACCCCCTCCTGAAGAAGGCTTTTCTACCTCAACGTTTCATCCCTGTCTGCTGGCCCTGAAGGGTGCCCCCTTCCTCTGTGACTCTTACTTTGTAAAGATCTGTTTATTTTTATTTGATAGGCAGAGTTACAGAGAGAAGGAGAGACAGAAGGAGCAAATGAGAGAGAGAGAGCTTTCATCCGCCTGCTTACTGTCCAAATGGCTGCAATAGCTAAGAGTTTAGTCAGTTTAAAGCTGGCAGCAGGAGCTTCTTCTGGGTCTCCTACGTGGGTACAGGAGCACAAGGACTTGGGCTGTTCTTCATTGTCTTCCCAGGCCATAGGCAGATTGCAGGGTGGGAAATGCTTCAGCTGGGACATGAACCAGCAGCTTTATGGGAGGCTGATGCTGCAGGTAGAGGCTTAGTCTACTATACCTGTGCGCCTGCCTTCTGTATGTGGGTGCTGTCTGGATTCCCTTCTCATCCTTTTCTGTCACTACCTCCAAAAGCTTCTTCATACTTTCTCAGCTGCTCCCTCTATGTTAGGGTGCCTACCTGTGGTCTCCAGCTTGAGACTTTATCTTCAGGACCAGGTTGGGGTTTGCGGCTGCCTACTGACTTTCACAAACAGTATGCCACAGCCAAATTAATCATCGTTTCCCTGAATCTGCAGCTGTGTCCTGTTTTCCCTGTTCTAATGACTCACCCAAGACAGAAGGCGACTCCCTGCACCCACACATATCAGTCTGTCCTACCTTCCTAATGTGTCTTTGTTCTAATACTGCCAGCTTGGTTGTTTTGTGACTATTAAAACCTTCCAACCTCAAATCCAGTGGCTCTTCACACTGGGGTGCTTTATAGACTAATTCCAATGCTAGGCCATACCCCAAGTCAGTGACATCAGACTCTGTGGTGAAACCCGGGCATCAGTAGTTTTAAAGTTCTCAATGTGATTTAACACACAGTCAGCAAAAAGAGCTGATATTCAGGAACCAATATTGTAGCACAGTGGGTTAAGCCATCACTTAAGGTGCCAGCATCCCTTCTCTGAGTGCCAGTTCAAGTCTTAGATCCCCTGTTTCCATTTAACTCCCTGCTAATGTGCCTGGGAAAGCAGCTGAAGGCGAGTCAAATACTTGGTCCCTTACCACGTGGGAGACCCAGACGGAATTCTAAGCTCCTGACTTCCTGATCTGGGTCATATCCAACTCTCAAGCTTGTCTGCATATGGGATGACATGAGGAATTTTAGAAATTCTGATGTTTGTGTCCTACCGCACAGTTCCTAATTTCATTGTCTGGGAAAGTAGGCAGAGCATCAGACTTCCCTGGGTGACTCTAAGGTACAGCACAGTTTCAGAACAATTATTTCAGTCTTAACTCTAAAATCCCATAGAAAACAGACTTTTGGTGCAGTGTTTGGGTTCAAATCCTGGCTCCACTCCCAATTCCTATTTCCTGCCCTAGTACTTGGTCCCTGCCACCCGCATGGGAGACCCAGATTGAGTTCTAGACTCTTAGTCCCACCCTGGTAGTTGCAGACATTGGGAAAGTGAACCAGAAGATCTCTTTCTGCCTGCCTTAAAAAAAAAAAACTAAAAAAAAAAAAAATCAACAACAACTAAGTAGAGGAAGAGGACCTATGATGTGAACCTGTTGTTCAAGAAAGCCTGAAACTCACTTTTCTGTCCATTCCTTCCTTACTCATCCTTCACAGTTCAGTACCGGGGCATTTATTTGAGAGCAAGGGAGATATTTTCATGCTAAGGCACCATGTTTTCATCAAATACTTTTCATACTCCTATGCTGGGTCTGTTATCAGATTGCAGTTAAAAGTGTGTGTGTGTGTGTGTGTGTGTGTGTGTGTATGTATGTGTGCTTCCTGTGTTGGGCTCTGTAAAATACTTGTGGAATGAATGAATGAGAGAAATTAAGGAAGTGCACTGAGTGCCAGAGGCTAAAAGCCGTTTAAGGAGACCTACAGGGGGTGCCCTATGATTGCTTCCCTTTGCTCCTCTCCTGGGCAGGAGCCAGGTATGTCAAGGATGACTGGCGGGGCCATAGAAACTTACCCAGGTTGGCACTGAGTGTGAGCGACAGCTTCTCTCTCCAGAGCTCAGCAGCTAGAATCCCATTGTAATACATGGCCTGGGCGCCAATTGCTAGCTGCACGACCTTCTCCTGGTCGCTTGGGTTAACCAGGGTCACTGTGAGCTGGGCATTCCCCCTCAGGGGGAGGGAGCTAGGTGCTTCCAAGAACAGGTACAGTGGGTCAGCCATCTCAAGACTGGGAGGATGACTGCCATTATCTTTCCCATGTTCTTTTCTCTCTCTCTGGACTCTCTCCAGCACCTCTTTTTCTTGAAGGGAGCCTGGGGAATGGGAAAAGCAAAACAGCCTCTTAGCCAGCAGGTGCAGACTCTTCTAATAAAGGCTCAGGATGAAATACCACCTTCACAAGGTCTCTATGATCACACTGGTATTTAGCCAAAGAGCCAGTGGGGGCACTGTCACCACAGATAATGGAGTGTCTTTTTCAATCCCCAATCAGAACCAAGTGTCTCCAGTGCTATTACTTTGCTGCTTGAGCAGTGAGAGAACAGACTGTGACAAGCCCACACAGTATCTGAAGACAGTTTTTCTGGGAATTAAATCTTTCAATGGGAAGAGGTTTAGACTGATTCTAGCAGCTTTGGGGGCCACAGAATAGTCTGGAGCAGGGGAGTAATATGATGACACTGGTGCATGACAGTTGTGTTATAGAAAGGACATCCTGAAAACACAAAGCTGGAACGAGAACAAGGATGGAAAGATTGGAGGCAGGGAGTCCAGCTCGGAGGTGGTAGACAGGAAATGATGAGGGCCCCGATTAACTCCAGCAAAAGGGGAAAGAGTAGGAGAGACTGAGGTGAGAAAGAGTGTTGGGGTGGTAAAAGGAGAGTCTCCAAGGTGGCATAAGCCTTCGTACTGGGATAAATAGGTGGTGTTAGTTCCATCAACTGATATGGAGCAATAGATTGGGTCTTGTTGGAGGAGTGGCAGCATCAGAAGTCTGCTGGTAGCTGTTTTCCAGCAGAATTACAATTTGGGTTTTGGTGGTAGAGGTGGTGGTGGGGAGCACAAGTGCTGGCACTTTGTGGACAGAGGCTGGGAATGCTGTTAAATATTCCATGACACACCCAACTTCCTCCACCATCACACTCCTGCTGCCACCCTCACAAATATCTGGCCTCAAATGTCAGTGGTATGAAGGTAGGAGGAGAAACCCTGTTCTCTGTGATGGAGAAAGGGCTAGGACTGTGTCTGGCTTGCATTTTTCTGGCCCACCCCTCTCCCGGTTTGCTGCATCAGCTGCTGGTCGGTACCTTCAGGGTACTTGTAGTGCTGTGTGATGTCCTCACAGCGGTCACTGCCCACAGCCTTGGTGCTGATGCTGTTGCCAATATACTTGGTGTTGGAGCTGGTCAGCTCCAGTGTTCCATCCTCACAGCATTTCCAGACCACACACGAAGCGTTCACCGAGGCAAAAATTTGTGACACCGCAGGGGTCAGTCCCAGGCTCCCCTCCTTGACTGCTTTGACAGGGACCAGATCACAGGCCCCCAGGACTAAGAGAGGGAAAAGTCCATCCGTGAGCAAGGCCAATTTACCCAGACATTTTTCTGTTCAGAGTTGCATTGTCTCAGTACCCATCCTGTATCCTGTTTTCTTTCTCCCAGCATCCAGGTCATAGGTGAGCACTGTGCAGAGTAGCCCAGAGGTAAAACCACAATTGTTCAGTGTTAATACTTTGTGGTCATGGCCTGTGGCAGAACTGCCTCAGTGAGTGCACAGGACAAACCTCAGAGGAACAGGCATAGTGCCCAGGGATTCCCCACTGGCTCTACTCCTGTGGCAGGATGAGGTTGCCTCTTTTGAGCACTCCCCGCCTCTTTTGAGCACTCCCTGTGTGCCAGGCTCTGTGACAGTTAAGTATTGCTTGGAGAAAAAACTCTTGCAGCTTCCTTCCTTGGCTTGAACTTATCCTGATGCCCTCTTCAAATACATTCAGACCTCAGAAGGCCCACCCCACAAGTCCTTGTTGCAGCACTTCCCTGACCATGGTAAAGTCCTCTGCCCTTCCCTGTGCCTCAGCCCTTCCCTGTTGCTAAAAAATGGGCCTGGCCCAATGGGACAGGATGATTGACACCCCTGTTTCCTTGCATCTAATGGCCCCATGGTCTTGTTCCTGCTTATTCTTCCATTTGAGAGGAGGCAGAGCCTCTTGGCCCACCCACTGCTCCTGCTTCCTTTCTGAGGGACTCCTTAAGCTCTGTGTGGTCCTGGCCCATGCCTAAGCATTACCTCCACTTCCACTAGAAGCAGTTGGATACAGAATCTGCCATCCATCATACCCTTGGGGTAAAGCAGGACGCTTCATCCAGCACTCCGTGGAAGTCTGGAAGATCCTGGTGGGAGCAGAAGGAGAGAGTCGAGTGGGAAACAGAGGAGTCCTGAAGATCTAGAAGCACAGCAGGGCTGGGCATTGTTACCATGGGTTAGGAGAACACTGCAAGCTGTAATACCCTGGGGGAAGGGCAGGCACAACCTGACTGGTGCCACTCTTGGGGTGGGGGATCCTCCCACCGCTTCCTCCCATCTCAGTTGGCTTAGAGACCTTCCTGGGTCAGTCCCACATCTCCCTTGGCCTTCTCACCAGACTCGGCCCCGCTGGCCTTCCCCATTCTGCAGCCCCTCCTCGTTGTAGTATTCATCCACCAGCAGGTCCCCACCAGTGCCCTGGGCTGAGGAAAATGTGGTAACAACACGGGCAGGGACTCCCAGGCATCGCAGTGCTGTGAGGAGGAGGTATAGTGTCAGAGGCTACCGCAAAGATCAAGGCTGGTGCCAGGGGCATTTATGCAGTGGGGTAGAGGGGGATTGGAGCACGTAAGGCTTTGTACTAAATGCTGAGTGACATCATGCAAGAAGGAGGGGCATAGAAACCAGAAAGGCAGAACTGACGCTCAGCAGCTGGATGCACAGAGGCTAATAAGGCAGGGCTAACAAGTTCACAGCAGGCAGAGTACAGAGCAGGGAAGAAGGGTACAGAATATATGTTGGAGCCTCAGGGGGCTTGCTGTATCAGGGTGGGGTGAGGGGTGGTCCTGCAGTGGAAGCGAGTCTGGGAGCAGAGTTTGCAGACAGGCCCATCTTTGCTGAGTGACAAAGAAGCAGAAGCTGGTGGGGAGGGAGGGATAGCTGAGATGAGCAGTTGGTTTCTTGGTCAGACAGTGCACCTGACCTAGAGTGGGTGTGATGGGAATGGGGAGAGGCTGCCTAGCAGAGGCAGCACCTGTTTTTGCAGATGTCCCTCCCACAGGGGAAATCACAAACAACTCAAGAAGCAGGGCAGATTCTGTACAGTAGCCCAGGTGACTGCCCTCCACAGCCCCTGCTCTGTACCTGTGCATGCGACAGCAGCCAGCACCCAGGCCTGACCAGCATACACAGGCCGGCCTTGGCCAGTGAGCCACTGCCGCAAGATGGGCACACTGCCACGGCGCTTGTTGAGTGAGGTCCCTTCCTCCACATCCTGGATCTGTGGGGTGGGCAGGATGCTTTTCTCCTTGAGAGCATGCAGCTGTTTGGGAAAAAATGAGTGGTGTCAGTGGGAGTCCTACAGGCAGGATGGTTTCAAGTGGCTGGGTAAGGAGGGCTCAGCTCACTCACCAAGCAAATCCACCTTCATCGGGACCACTGATGACTGTTAGGCCATCAGTGGTCACTTCAGGTCCCTTCCTGAGTTCCCTGGGTTAAAATCTCTAGGGCTGAGCCCAGGAGAACTGCCCGCCTACAGGCACTGACTCCTTGGAGGTTGTCTGTCCCCTTGAACCTGCAAGCCACTTATCACAGCTTACTCCCCCTCCTGGACTGGCCTTGACCCTCAGCATCTCTTCAGAGTGGATCCCAGAGGTACAAGAAGGAATTGTAGAACATACTCTTCCTCCTAAAGCACTTTTAAGAGGAAGTTCAAGCATCAAGCAGCCTTCCCAGCCTGCATTTTCAAAGGAATCATTTAGAAGTAAAAGCAAGTCCATTTGGTTACTACAGTAGCAAACACGCAGTAAGAGGCCCACCCAGCCCAGCCCTTGTTCTGGGGAATGACACCTCTCTTGGCTTTAGGTATCCCTCTCACCCGTCTTTTTCCATCCTCACCCTAATGCTTTTCTAGGAACTGCCTCCCACACCTTGGGAAGAGTCAGAGGGCTCTTGTCCTGCCTCCTCCTCCTCCCTTTGGGTTCTCTGCCCCTTACTCACCAGGGCGCCCAAAACTTGGGCCACATGCACAGGCTGGCTCCACTTCTCCACATGCTTGTCCACGCTCAGCAAGCTCAGGCTGAGGTCCATGACATCCCTCTCAAACTGCAAGTACCACATGGAGTCATGGTGAAGGATCTTAGGGCAAGCTCTTGTCCCACAGCACAGTCCCATAATCCCATCCTCTCCCCAGGTTCAGGTTGCACTCCTGCTCCCCTGCTTCAGTATTCCCCATAGCCCGTAGGCATCCTGAGTACCCAGGCCTTTGCTCTCCTGGGGTCTGACTCTCCTTCTAGGGTGTGGATGTCGTGGATTGGTACTGAGTAGCTTTGTGGCATTGGCTTTCTGTTTGTGGGGGTCCTCCTGCCCCTCCCAGCACTGAAGTGCCAGGGCAGCTCCTGCACCAGAGGGGTCCATGGGTTAAGACTGGAGATGAACATGTGGCCCCTTAAATTACAGGTCACAGCCATGTAGCTAGGGCTCTAGTGGAGATACTAACATAGAGCACTGGACAGTGTGGAGAAATGCCCTCTGCCTTCCGGGACTTAGGGAGGTACTCAAGAAGGTCTTAAATGTGGGTGGGAATTTCCAAGGAGTCAGAATCTTCAGCTGTGTACTCCAGGATGAGGAGGACTGGTGCCCAGGCTGGCCTGCAGAAGAGCCTTGGGTGGCAAGCCAGGGTGTTTGATTTTTATCTGGCAGACAGAGCCTTGATTTGCGTTGACATTTAGCAAGATAACTGGTACCTGTGGAGATGCTGTGCTGTGAGTCAGAGGGAAGGGAGGCACCCCAGGGCTAGAGCAGACTAACAAAATGGATTCATGGAGGCCAACACAGTGGCTTAGACGATAAAGCCACCACCAATAACCCCTGTAACTCATATGGGCACTGATTTATGTCCTGGCTAATTGACTTTGACTCAGTTCTCTGCTAATGGCTTGGAAGATAGCAATGGAAGATGGCCCAACTGAGTTTACACCACCCGTATGGGAAACCTGAATGAAGCTCCTGGCTCCAGGATCCTGGCTTCAGTCTGGCCCATTCTTGGTCGTGGAAGCCATATGGGGAGTGAATGAGCAATTAGATTTTCCCCTCTTTCTCTTTATAACTCTGACTTTTCAAATAAATAAGCAAACAAAGTCCTTGGGGGGGAAAAAAGGTAACCTCATGATCAGGGGGCTTTTGCACCTGCCAGCTCTGTCTGGCAGTCACATGAAGATTAGGGTTAGCCACCATCCCTCTTGTTCCTGGAACTTTCTTGTACCTGGCCAAAATCCCAGGACTCTTCCTGGATACAATCGGCTGTTCCCAGGTAGATGAGACCATTCTGGTTCAACACGTACTCCCTGCGTTGAGCCTCATTTTCCAGGAACACAGCATCCTCTGGTGACAAGCAAGTGGAGATGGATGAGGACCTGTGGAATGCTCTTTCTGTCCTCTATGCCCAGGCCTCTGCCCTCCCTGCCCAGGTCAGCAATAACTACAGACCTTCCCTTCAGCTCAGTGTCTAATGAAACATAGAAGGAAGCCAATTTTGCCAATCCAAAGTTCCTGTGTCAGAATATGGCCTTTGTGGTCAGCCAGGCAGACAGGAGCAAGTCAAGTTTAAAAGCCTCAATGGTTCCCAGAGGACATTTGTAGCCAGAGCATTCTCAGTCAAAGAGATGATGGCTACCACTCAGAAAGTTGCCTAATGGCCCATACGTCTTTCCCTAGATTCTACTTGTGACCCTACCCCCCAAAAAAACATACTTCAGAAACAAAATTTAAAGCAATTAAACATAAGTTGACAAGGAGAGAGCAAAAGGAGGAGCATTTGTCAAGATAGGGTCAGAAGAAGTAGTAGGGGTGGGGAAGTAGAAGCAGGAGCACTGGACTTTTCCCCTGGCAGTGGCCAGTGGGTCTAGGAATGTCATAATCACTCCAAGTAGCCCTCTGGCTTTTCTTGTGTAAGGGTTGGGCTGGGTGTCATGTGAAGCCTGGGCAATTTTTGAGGAGGTCATCCTGTGCTCTAGGAAGTATCTCTGCTCTGCCAAGTGCCCAAGTGTCTGAGCCTGTAGCAGGGTTTGTATTGTGAGAGGGGTCAGTCTAGTTCCCAGAAACTGGAAAGAGCAAAGTGTTTCCAAATCATCCTGAGGAACTGCTGGAGACCTTCAGGCATTTGACTGGGTTAGGGCCACTCAGGGCAATAGAAGGATAAGCTATTGAAAGGAAGTACTGAAACACCGTGATAATAAAATCACAGAACTGTGGGCCTACAGAGCCCTGACTCTTGCACTTCCATGCCAAACACTCCAGGAAGGCAGCTCAACATCACTTCAAACTGAGATGTTTGGCCCCAAACTGAGATACTTGGCCCCAGAATCTTGCAGGGATTTGGCACGTACAATGAGGTTACAAACCCCTTTTATAGATTTTGGTCTGCGGACAAGGCTCTGACTTTCATCACATGCATGTTAAATTTCTTGTTAAATGCGGGCGACCTCCATCCTCAGGTATGCAGATATGAGACTGAAATGCCATAGAATCTCTGGAAATCCCTTAATCACCTTCCTGAGGATCAGGACCACTGCTTCCAAGATGGACACACACAGAGCTGGCTTTCCTAGGCAACTCCTACAAGCACAGCACGATGGCAGGGGTCCTGGCCCTGGGGTTGGGGCCGTATTTTTGCTACATACTTCCTCTGGTCACTGGAGCCTAGTTCTGCATGTGGACTTCACATCCTGCCAAGAGAGGATTGGCGTTGGAGGGAAATGGCTTGAAGGTCAGGATGGGGAGAGCTGAAGTGCCTTCCCTAGGCAAACAGCTCTGAATCCACATACACTTCCAAGGGAAAGGGGAGAATCTGAATGATCCCTGGTTCTCATCCATCATTCCTCTTGCCTGCCCCCTTGAAGCAAGAAAGAAGGGCATGAGCTGAGGATAGGCAGGGCCACTTGAGATGGAAGATTTTAGAGCAGTTGGGCCAGGGGGCTTCAGTTAACACAGAGAAGGGCAGTCAGGAACTGGGGTGCAGGCCTGGGACCACACGAACCAGGGAAGACTCTTGTCCACTCCCATCTTTTCTCTGGCCTCCCACTTCTGACATGCCCTTCAGGCAGTGCAACTTGGAAGAGGAAAGGGCAAGTAAACAGGAAAGGAAAGCTGGGAGAAGCTGTTTTCCATTCTCCCATCAACCCTTCAGAGAATTCAAAGAATTCCAGTGGGTACAGCAGGGACTTAGGCTGATGCTGCCCTAGGTATCTGGGCTAGGTGCTCTCTGTCGCAACCATTCCCCACACTCCCAGCTCTGGGGTCTTGAATCCCTCCATAGCCCAGGGTAGCCCAGTTTCAAACTCACCTTTATTCCAGGGGTTAAAGAGCAGTGTAAACTGGCCCAAAAGATATTGCTTCCTGCCTGAGACCTGCAGCAGAAGTGAGTAGTGGCCAATGACAGCAGCTGCAGGTGTGGTCACAGAGATGGTCCAGGACTCAGCATCTCTCTCCTCCACTGCCGCACTCCACCCCTTCCGGTCCCCAAGGCTGGAAATTGGGAAGGTGGCTTGGGTCCCATTGGCCTTGGAAGGCTGCTCTCCTATAGTCACATAGCAGTGAATCAGCCATTGGAACTTCTTGGTCATACCTCAGAGTCATGTGGTTCCAGTAGTACAAAGGTGGATCAGGGGAAAATTGGCTTTAGAAGAGGATGAAAGAATTGGGAGCAGTAGAGGGTGATGTGGAAAGTGGAGGTTGTTGGCATCCATAGGCCTGCATCTGACAGAGGCTGATCAGTTATTAAATGGGCTCAATTAGAGCACTTATTTCATAGGGTCAGTATGAGGGCTGGATGAGATACTGCACAAGAGACTCATGGTCCAGTCTCTGACATACAGTATGGGCATAATAGCAGCAATTCTGGGTCTTCTACTTCTCAGTGAGATCCCACCCAGCCTCTTCTCCAGAGGTGAGGATGTGTTGGGATATGTTGCAGCCCAAGGAGCCAAGGAGTGACTATGCTGCTGAGTGGCTTCTAATCCCAGTGAGCAGTCTTTGTTACACACGCTGTTTCACAGTGCCCTCCCAGAAAGGACCCTGCCCTCCCACAAGACTTTTGAAGGTGCAGCTGCAGGGGTAGGGGAGCCGTGGGAGGGAACATTTCCCCCCTAGGTTCCCTGCCCAGCATGCTGATGAGAGAACCAGCATCCCTCCCACCCCAGGTCCTGCCACCAAAAAGGGTTCAAACCCACCTACCAGTTTGTGCAACAAGGGCCACCTTCTTTAGGTTAGGCAGAAACTTATGGATGGGAGTGCGGAAGTGCAGAACGATGGTGAAGGGCTGCCCCCTCCTCACAATGAGGTGCTGAGAGCTAATGGCCTTGGTGTGGTGTTCCTCATTGTTTCTTGCTGCCTGCAGGTCACAACTCTTGATAGCCAGGGCTGTTGTGGGAAAGAGGTTCATGAGAGACTAGGTCAATGTGACAACATAGTAAAAGCAAAGATTCCACTATCAGAAGACTAGATTTCAGATTCTTGGGTCACCTTACTTTTTAGTTGCATACCCCTAGGCAGGACACTTAACCACTCAGGGTTCCCATTTTCTTGTCCTTTGAAAAACCATTTCCCCCCTTGCAGAACTGTAAGGATTGTAAGAGCTCACGTTTACAATACACTTAATATAATGTCAGACCTATAGTACATCCCATTTATTGGGACTGTTGGTGGTGGTAATGAGAGCAATGTTTGTTCTCATGGTTGACCCCCTCTTTCCCTCCTGGGCTAAAGCAAATAATAAAACCCAGCATCTTGCTCACTCAGTTTTTCTTTAAACACAATCATGGGATTTTTAGCTTTTCTTTAAAATATTATTTTTTAGGGCCCGGTGCCATGGCCTAGCAGCTAAAGTCCTCACCTTGAATGTGCCAGGATCCCATATGGGCGCCGGTTCTAATCCTGGCAGCCCCACTTCCCATCCAGCTCCCTGCTTGTGGCCTGGGAAAACAGTTGAGAACAGAACAAAGCCTTGGGTCCCTGCACTTGTGTGGGAGACCTGGAAGAAGTTCCTGAATTCTGGCTTCGGATTGGTGTTGCACTGGGTGTTGCAGTCACTTGGAGAGTGAATCATCGGATGAAAGATCTTCCTCTCTGTCTCTCCTCCTCTCTGTATATCTGACTTTCCAATAAAAAAAACTTTAAAAATAAATAAAATTTTCTTTTTTAAAGATTTATTTTATTTGAAAGGCGGGGTTACAGAGAGAGAAGGAGAGACAGGTTTTCCTTTCATAAACTGGTTCACTCCCCAAACGGCTGCTTTATCGAGGGTTGGGCCAGGATGAAATCAGGAGCAAGAAGCTTTCGCTTGGTTTCCCATTAGAGTTCAGGGATCCTGGCACTTGGACTGACCTCTGCTCTTTCCCGGAAAAGCGGGTAGCATTACGACGGAGCTGGATCAGAAGTGTAGCAGTCAGAACTCAGATACCCATATGGGATATCAACACTGCAGCCAGCATCTTAATTTGATGTATGACAACACCAACCACAAGATTTATTTATTTATTTATTTATTTATTTATGTGAAAGCGTTAGAAAGAGGTCTTCCATCCACTGATTCACTCCTCAAATGACTATAGTGCTCAGGGCTGGGCCACACTGAAACCAGGACCCTAAGAACTCCATCCAGATCTCCCACATGAGTAGCAGGGGCCCAAGCACTTAAACCACCTTCTGCTGCCTTCCCAGGTGCCTTAGGAGGGAGCTGAATGGGAAGTGGGGCAGCCTTTGAACTGGACTTGAACTGACTTGAACTGGAGCCCACAGGGGATGCTGGTAACTCTAGCCCCAATGAGAGCTGTTTTTGAATTCCGTCATTGTTAGTTTAGAAGAGTGAGGCTAAGAAGCATAATTAACTTACCCAAAATCACAAGTGGTCTTTGACTTAAAGGTTCACCAAACTTACTGCATGGTGCCTTTCAGACAAGCTCTATAAGAATATGACTCAGGAGTAATGAGTTTTTAGCCACGTCTAATCTTATGGGGGTGGGGGAGGAGATACAAATGACAGTATATGCCCAGAACCCAAGGCAAGGCCTAGTATTTTTAAAATAATGTAGTTCCTCCTGCAATAAATGATTTGTATGTTTTGTCCCCTTGGTTGGCAGAAGCCTACAGACAGCCTCCTTGGTCTGAAAGGCCGAGTATGTTTTTCCCCCTGGCTTAGCTGGCAGGAGAGAGGAGCAATGACTTCGGCTTGCAGGTATAGAGCGGGGTCTGAGTTACTTCTGGGAATGACCTGAGCTTGCAGACATGATCTTTAGGCTCCAAGACCCATTTGTGCACTCAGAATATTTCTACTTCAGATCCCCTCTACTCTCAGTCTTCCTGGCATTGAGAAAGAATTGGAGAGCAAGAAAAGAGAAACAACCACCCTGTTTGACTTTTTCTTTGCATCAAAATGAAGCTGATAGAAAGGGGGGAAAAAAAGGGACTGTTGAATATGAAGGAACATGAAAGTGAGCAGAGGAGGGAAAGGGCCTCCCCCTGGTCCTGGGGCCCTTGGGATCCCTTTCTACTCTTGTGTCTTCCTTGTTCCATCAGTGCAATGGGCAGGCCAGCGCAGTGGGTAGAATAGCTACTGAAAAGCTGGGGTAGGTCTGTGGAAACACAGCAGTCCTCAGAGGCCACAGTGCTGGTGCTGGGTCCCAAGACCAGCCCTGGCTCTGCAGACTAGATGCAGGGAAGGTGAGCAGTTGTGACTCAAGCTTTGCTTTGTGCCACGGTGCATTTGAAACCATACAGTGGCAGCTTTGGTCTAGCAGAGCTGCTCTTCAGAACCCATCTGGTCTCTGGTTCTGTCTGGAGAGCTTCCCATACTTTTTCTCTACCTGATGGATGTCCACTCAGTTCCCAGGGTTCAGAGGTATGCATTCTCACCAATGCTCCCACAGAACTCGGTCCTCTGAGATTCCCTTGTGCTCTGTGTTGCTCTTTTTAGCACTTAATATTTTATAGCCGTCATCTGCTTAGCTTTCTTCTCCCACTCCTATTGTGAACTTCCTCAGGTGCAGTATCAGTTCCTATCTGTGTCCCCTGCCCCAGCAGAGCTTGCAACTTGGTGGATACCCAGCTGTCATTGCTTGCTTGGCCAGGAGAAAAGCAAGAACACTGAGACATCTGAACCACTCAGATGTACCGCTGGGCCCTCAGCCCCACATCTGTGCTGACAAACACCAGAAGAGGCCTCTAAGGTTGCTGAACCCCCTGGGTCTGTTAGGTTTCTGATTTTATACCTGCTCTGCCCCCATGCCTTCACTGTCCTGTCATCTGACCTGACGGCTGTGACAGCTTCATGGTTTCCCATGGAACATCTCATTTGTGTCACATCCCAGTGATCTGTGAACAGTTCCATTGTGATGATCCTGGGATCAGAATATATGCTTACCACCACCATCATCATCAAGCTGTTTCTACTCATTTACTTCAATGATCTACTATACCCCACAGCATAGTCACACCAACAGCCACCATCCCCAAAATAGCTGTGCCACCCCCTCCATTATAACTGTATCACCACCTCTACCTTCACCGGCACCCATTTACTACACCACACTCCATAGCTGCTCACCCCAATCCTAGCCACAACCCTCACCCTAGCCACACCACTACTGCCATCCCTGTTTCTTTAGTGAAAACACATGAGGAGGGAGGGCTACCGACAATCCAGCAAACCCTGCTGGGAGCTATGTTGACTTACCTTGTCCCATTGTTGCAGGATGTTCTTATCCTCTTGCTCATAGGAAATGTCTTTTGAGCTATTACTTCTGGGCTTCCTCTCTGAGTGTCTCAGACAAAGAGCGATGGCTCAAGAATTGATGACATTTCCATCTCCCCCTCCTGTGAGCACCTCAGCAGGTCTCTCCTTTTGCTGTTATCTCTTGGACCAGCTGCTGCAAGAAGCCCTTTTCATTTTATCTCTTGGGCCAGGAGGCCCAGGCAGGAGGACGATTGCCAGGCCTGCAGGAAGGAGTGGAATGAGGAATATGTGTCAGCTGAAACCCAGAAGAAACCATTAAGTCTATTTCCTTTAGAGCCCTCAGGAGGCTGTTGGAGTTGTTACCCAGTCTACACTGGAAGGCTCTGGAAGACATGACTCTAGAAATGTAAGACTCACATCCAACTTCAAACCTCAGGCCCTCACCCTATCACCAACTGCAAGTTGCTATGTGTCCATGGGCTGCTTGGAAGTAATATAAAGGGAGAACTAGTGCTTCTGGAATCCGTCTGTGTGAACAAGATAAGGAGATAGAATTTGTTGGTGGAAGATAAGTGTCCTGAAGGCAGAAGCCAGGACCCCAGCTCTCCTAGGCCTGCTTGGTTGAGATGCCGAATCAGAGGAGGTTTAGAGCTCTCTCAGGGCTCAGGATTTGTGTCTTTTCCATTTTTTTCTGGGTTGGTTTTCAGGCAGATGAGGCACAGGAGAGGATCATGTATCTGGCCCTCTTTGGCTTTCCAAAGCCCAGTGTGAGACCAGGCCTCTCAGACTGTGTCATCAGAAGCACTCTTAGGGACAGCTGTACTTGGCTGTGTGAGTGTGGGTGTCTATGGAAGGACAGTACCAAACAGATCCACAAAAAACTGCGGTTGCCTGTGGGAAGGGTCCCACAGAGTGGGGTGGGAAGGTGATTTTCTGTTTTTTACCCTGTTTGGATTTCTAAAACGGACCTATTCAGAACCATTGAGACTACTCAAGTAACACCCTTGTATTGGTGTGATTTGGCAGCAAGGAGTAGACAACATCTACCTGTCCCACAGTCCCAGGAAGGAGAGCAGGGTCATTTCCCTCCCTTACTCCCTCCCCCTTCCCATGCCTCTCCATCCCACCCAGAGTTCTGCATGAGTCTGCAGTTGCTTCACCTAAGTAACAAACGTTAAAAAAAAAAAAAAAAATCAGGACTGGTCCAGTAGCCTAGTGGTTAAGTCCTCACCTTGAATGCGCTGGGATCCCATATGGGTCGCTGGTTCTAATCCCAGCAGCCCCACTTCCCATTCAACTCCCTGCTTGTGGCCTGGGAAGGCAGTCAAGGATAGCTCAAAGCCTTGGGATTCTGCACTCACGTGGAAGACCTAAAAGAGGCTCCTGGCTTCGGATCAGCACAGCTCCGGCCACTGCAACCACTTGGGGAGTGAATCAGCAGTCAGATCTTTCTGTTTCTCCTCCTCTCTGTATATCTGACTTTCCAATAAAAATAAATATTTTTTTTTTAAAAACTCAACTGTTAATCATGTAGGGAAAAAAAAAAGAAGAAAAAGAAACTTGTTTTTCACCTTTCCAAAGTATAGTCTGTTAGATTCGCCACTGGCCAAAATGTTAGATTCGCTGCTTGCCAGGGAAAGAATAACTCAGCCAAATATATGAAAAGAATTTAGATGGCCTTTATTTCAGGGAACCACGGTCACGGGCTTCCCTTCCGCATGCAGCAGAAAGGACAGACTTGAAGGAGTGTGCTGCAGAGGAAGAAGAGCCTGGAAGAGACCGGGAAGGGGCCCTTTTAAGCTCTTCTTGACATGGAAACTGAAACGGCAATCGCCTCGGCCCTTATTGGTGGTGGGGGGATATGGGTCTGTGCTCCTCATTGGTGCAACCGTGGTCTCACTGCCTGAAGGGCCCACCAGAATTCCACCATCCATTCCAGGTTTGATTGAAGGCAAACTCCATCCACCCTTCTCCGGTTACCGTGGTAGCCATCATAGTCGTCATAAGAAATGAAGCTGGAGGGTTGGTGTTGTAGCATAGCCACTACAGCCACTGCCTGTGATGCCAACATAACATGGTTGTCAGTTCAAGTCCTGGCTGTTCTGTTTCCAATCCAGCTCCCTCTAATGGCCTGTGAAAAGAACCAGAAGATGATTCAAGTTCTTGGGCCCTTGCCACCTACATTGGAGACCCAGATGAAGTTCCTGCCTCCTGGTTTCAATCTCTCTCAGCCCGAGCCATTGAGACCATTTGGAAAGTGAACCAGTAGATGGAAGATCTCTCTCTCTTCCCATCCCTCTCCTCCAGCCCCCTCTCCCCCCTCTGTAATTCTGGCTTCCAGTTCACCCACATGGGTAGAGGGTTTGAAGCAAGGCTTTGGGTTATCCTCTGCTGCTTTCCCAGGCCACAAGCAAGGAACTGGATGGGAAGTGGAGCAACTGGGACTCCAGTTAACACCCATATGGCATTCTGGCAATTGCAACAGGAGGATTAATGAATTGAGCCATTGTATTGGACCTGTCTTGAGCAAGCTTTTTTTTTTTTTTAAGATTTATTGATTTTATTGGAAAGGTAGATGTACAGAGAGGAGAAGAGACAAAGAGGAAGATCTTCCATCTGCTGATTCACTCCCCAAGTGACTGCAACAGCCAGTGCTGCACCGATTTGAAGCCAGGAGCCAGGAACTTCTTTCCAGGTCTCCCACGCAGGTGCAGGGTCCCAAGGCTTTGGACCATCCTCGACTGTCTTCCCAGGCCACAAGCAGAGAGCTTTATGGGAAGTGGAGCTGGCAGGATTAGAACCAGCACCCATATGGGATCCTGGCGTGTTCAAGGTGAGGACCTTAATCATTACTCTATCGAGCTGGACCCGAGCAAGCTTTTAAAAATAGTATAAAACATGCTGGCACCCAGACTAGGCCACATAGCTCTCATAGATATGCAGGATGATCAGGTCTGTGGCAGGCTGGCTGGTCTAGAGCACAGCACCTGTCAGTTAATTTGGTCAATGGGGCTGGAAGAGGAACTGGCCACCAATACGTGTGTTGGTAGGTGCAACACTGTGGACTGAACCTGATCCTGTCAGGTGCAGATGACAGTCCAAACCTGACCCTGCATTGGCTGGTGCACGTAAGAGTCAAGTGTGAGGTCACCCCAGGAGAGGTTTCTTGAGGGACTACATAACTACATTGCTGGACCCAAACCCTGACCACAGGGAAAATCACAAAATATGTGATCTGACTTTGGAGTGCATGTGTTGCTTTCCAATACCTGTGCAGTAGACAACACATCTAGTTGCACATGAGGGACATGACATGCAGCTCATCTGGGCCAGCAGAGGATGTTGAGTGCCTCATCAAAGAATGGAAAGCAGAACAGGTTGGACCACTCTCCTGGCCAAGATTTGCAACATATTCCTGGACCTGTGGATGTACTAAGGTAGAGTTGGTCAGACAATAGAGTTGGAAAGATTTTTTTCTCAAACCTGGTAAAACAAAGCCAGAAACTTCTCAGAACCATCAAAGCCACTCAAGTAACACCATTCTTCCCCACATCAGGGTCTCTAAGGCATCATCAAGTGACCGCTCCACATCCCTGGATGCTGATGTAGTTTGACAGTAAGGAATGGCCCCCTCCTCTTCCCTTCCCTTGCTGTAGACGCAAGAGAAAAAAATTGAAACATTTGTCCTACCCAACTTCCTTCATGCCTTGACCCTCCCCACCCTAATTGGAGACCTCACCTATATAAACAATATTAAAAATAAAAGTTAAAAAACACTGTAGTGATGCTCTTGGGGGAAAGTTGCACATGGGAGTGTGAATGGGTGTAGCCTTTGTGGAGGGGTGTGTCAGTCAGCCCAGGCTGCCAGGAAAAGATACCATGCACTCAGTGACTTGAACAGCAGACATTGTTTTTTTACAGATCTGGAGACCAGATGTCTAAGATCAAGTTGCTGTCAGGGCTGGTTTCTGGTAATGGTTTCTTCCTGATCTTACTGTGCCTGCATCTCTGGGCACCTGAGGGAAGAGAGGGATTCCTGATTTTTATTTTTTCCAATTTGGATTTGTTTATAAGAAGGAGAAAGGCTGAGAGTAAGCTCACATTCACTAATTCAATCCCCAAATATCCACTACAGTTGAGGCTGGAGCAAATGGAAGCCAGGAGCTGGGAATGCAGACCAGGTTTCCCATGTGTGTTTTAAGGACCCAACCACTTGAGCCATCCCTGTTGCCTCCCTCAACGTACACTAGCAGGAGTGGAGTTGGGAACTCAGACTCATTCACTCTGATATGTGGACACCTCAAATAGTGTTTAAACTTCTGCTGTTAGGCCAAATCTGTCCCTCTTTTTCTTTTACAAGGACCTTAATCGCATCACATTAAGGACATACTGTTATGATCCCACTTAAACTTTATTATCTCCTTCCAGACACTATGTCCAAATATTGTCACATTAAGGGTTGGACTTCCACGTATGAATTTTGAGGATATGCGATTCAGTCCATGGCAGAGAAAAATGAAATATCTACCAAAACCTTAAATGTCTATTCTTTTGACTTAGCCATTCCACTTCTAGATATTTACCACAAACAGGTATCAAATAAAATCTCTACGAACAGAATAGCAGGGCCAAGCATGGTAGCCTAGTAGCAGAAGTCCTCACCTTAAACATGCTGGGATCCCTTATGGGCACTGATTCTAACCCCGACAGCCCCACTTCCCTTCCAGCTCCCTGCTTGTGGTCTGGGGAAGCAGTCAAAAGGAACCCAAACCCTTGGGACCCTGCACCCATGTAGGAGACATGGAAGAAGCTACTGGCTCCTGACTTTGGATCAGCTCACCTCCGGCTGTTGTAGCCACTTGTGGAGTGAATCAGCAGATGGAAGATCTTTCTCTTTGTCTCTCCTCTTCTCTGTATATCTGACTTTCCAATAAAATAAAAGAAGGGCATCACAGTATATTGTTAAAAATAATAACAAAATATTGGCAACAGTATAAACATCTATAGGAAAGGTACTGGATTGATAAATTATAGGGTATGCCTTCAGTAGAACATTATTGTGAAAAAGCCAATCTCTATGATTGATCTGGAATCATCTCAAAGCTGTATTATTAGATAGGATCAGCAAGATATGGAACAGGTAAGCCATGAGCTTC